ATATTTACTGTAATTTACTTAGTCATTTTCATATTTTTAGAACTTTATATTATTGCCAGTTTTGATTTATGATAAATGCTTTCTAACACATATTCTTGTATATAGTCCAAAATTGAGTCACTGATTTATTTATTTAGGATAAAGTTGTGTGGTTAATTAAGAGTACAAGTAAAACTGAATGGGAGATTCTTGATTTTTTTTTTCTTATAATACTTTTTCTGAAAAGGCTGTTAAACTCATGTAAACATTATATATAATTTTCAAATGTGTCATTTTGTTAGGTTATCAATTGTGTAATATTTTGTTGTTGCTTAAAATTGTATTAGTGATATTCAGCATTTTAAAATTATTTCTGATATTACATTTCCTTCTGCTAATTAAACTATTAACAAAATTGACATAGAACACTCTGCTCTATGAAGGAAACTAGAACTAGATTTGAAATAGATTTAGATCCTCTGTTTCTTTTTCAGTGCTTGATTTTGTTTTGTATTTCCCTTTTTAACTTGTTTCTTTCTTTGAGAATAGTGAATTTTTTTTTTTTTTGTGCAATGAGCAGGAAATTCCAGAGTCTTTAATAAAACAATGTTATATTTTAGATAAGGAGTGATGCAATTGATCATTGTTACGAAAGAATGAAGTATGTAAAATAGCTTTTCCTAGGTTTACTCTTTACAGATTACATAGAGATTGTCAGCTGTTATTAAAAAATGGACCATACTGATGTGTATGTGTACATACATGCATTTATTTTTCATTATTTTTAAGGTGTTTAGTATTTAAAGGAATTTTTTGAACCCAAACTAGTATAAATAATATTTTAGGAGACAATATTAGCACAAGATTATATAAAATATGAGTTTCCAAAAATGAAAAATAATTGGTTATTAAATTGTAGTGACTGAAGAATTTTAAAATAACATTTTTTGATAGTAATAGATTTAGTTGAGAGAAATTCAAGGTTTTGTCATAAGGGATTACATTTTGGTTCTTTGTTGATGCTGATTACAGCATAATTTGCTGTTCTTTTTTATATTGTAGCTTTATTTTTTTAAACTTTCAATTTTGCTATAATTTTGGGTTTACAGAAAAAAATACAAGAATGAAGAATTTCCATGTAATCTTCATTCAGATTCCCCCAATGTTAAGATTTTGCTATATTTTATCATCTTTGTGATAAAATAAGAAAAAGGATTTAGTGGTAGACTTAATGTAGCATAGACACGTTAATTCTCAGTGATGCACACCTAAAACTTAGGAGGTTAAAATTCAGTATTTATTTTAAGATATTGACAGTTTTGAAGAGTATGGATCTATTATTTTATAGATGTCCCTAATTTAGGCTTACTTGGTATTTCCTCATGTTTAACTTCAGGATTTGCATTTTTGACAGGGGTATTACAGAGTGATATTTTCTTCTAAGTGCACCATATTTGGTGATGTCTGTATGTTCCATTACTGGTGAGGTGAACTTTGATCCTTGGCTTAGGTAATGTCTGCTAAGTTCTCTAACATAAAATTACTCTTTTCCCTTTGTAATTACAAATGTTTTTTTGTGAATGATGGGAGATACTTTAAGACAATGTAAATAACTTTTTCTACTAGTTTAGCATTTGTTGATGATTCTTGCGTGAATCAGTGATTTCCCTGGTGACTGGAATTTTCAGTTCCGTCATTTTTTCTTTATTAGGTGACATCTTGTGAGGCATTGCTTCCCCCTGTTCACTATTAATTTTTATATTTATGGACTCATGGATTCTTAATGTATTCATTGGGTTATGTTACTCTCAAATTGCTCCAGATGAAGTCAGTGGCACCCTGTTCAGAATAGTTTCACTGTCCTTTTGACATGTCTGTACTCTCCTTTGAGCACTTCCATATTTTCTGGCACAAGACATTTCATTCTCAGCTTATACTTGTTCCAGAGTCATCCCTGGAAGTTAGCATTTCTCTAAAAAAAGTCTCACTTTGCTGAGTGGAGAATGGCTTTTAGAAACCAAGGTTGGGGTTTGGTTAGTTAAATGTTTAGAACTGTTAATGCTGAGATCCTGATGTTCTAAAGGCATCATCATTCTCTTCAAAGATCTGATAGCCATCTTAGTAGCTCTTAGGCACTGTGATAACACAGTGAAGTACACGTGAACAATTGATGCTGATTACTTCTACTTAATTTTCTTTTTGTTGTTACACAACAGTCACTGGCTAGATTGTGGGAAAAGCTGGATGACTCACTCAATTAAATGGGGGCAGGAGGGTGAGGTCAGGAATATTCCTGTTGAATGGTGACTTTGGGGCCAAGAAAAATATTTAGTTATGAATTTAGTGTTTATCTTCTACCAAGTATCAGTCACCCTTAAGTTTCCATGGCTCCTTTCATTTTTTCAGGTGTCACATATTCATGTAGTTCAGCCAGTAACTTTCTTTTGGATGGATGTAGTGTTGCTGTTTTAATACAGTTGATCTTCTTTAGTATTATTTCATAAGCTATAGCTGTTTTGGTTAGTGAAATATAGCTTATTGCTGTTCTCTCATAGAATATTTAAATGTCATGTATAACTAGAAAAGACCCTGGAGATTTTATGAATATTCTTGATGTTTGAAGAAAAACTATTTTCAGAATATAAAACTGTCAAATAAGTTTAGGCTAGTATAGTTTAACTCTTTAGAATAAAAAAATTAAGAAAAATTTTTAAAACCGTTTTAAGTGAACTCTCTCTTCAGATTGATATGTAGCTAGTTTAATATTTTAAGATTTCAAGGATTGTAGAGAAACAAAATCTGTGATAGAATTAACAAAATACCAGTTTGGGAACAGAAAATATTTTTCAGTAGTTAGAATCTTGTATCATTGTTAGTCAAAGCAGATTTATTTATTTTTTTTTAAAGATTTATTTATTTATACAAGCACTAGGTACAATCAGAATTGCGGGAGGGTGAGAGAATTCGCCAGAGCCAGAGCGGGGAACAGAACAGGCAGAATGATGAAATACACTGCTGAGGGGAGCAGCAGGCACTGCAGGAGAGGTCTGCAGCACCTTGTGGGACCCTACCCGGCTGGCCGGGATCGAACCTGTACTGAAGTGGCTGCGGACAGCCTCACAGCGTGGTGCTCAACCGCCTGCGCCACCAGGGAGCCCCGTTAAATAAACTTTAGCGGTAATTATTTGATGTTTTTATGACAGAGACTTATTTTGTGCTAAATGTTGATCTGAGCATGGAAGATATAGCTACAGATGGTACAGACAGGTCTCTGTAACAGGAAATTTGTACCTGAAGACTGAATACATATTAACATTTCAAATATTAAAATGCATTTTTTATTTTATTTATGAGATTAGTGGAAAGAGATAAAATATAAATATCTTTGTCTTTTATTTATTTATTTTTTAAAGATTTATTTATTTATTTATACAAGCACTGGGTAAAGTCAGAAGCGTGGGAGGGTGAGAGAATTCACCAGAGCCAGAGCAGGGAACAGAGCAGGCAGAAGGACGGAAGTACACTGCTGAGAGGAGCAGCGGGCGGCAGGAGAGGTCTGCGCGCCATGTGGGACCCTCCTCAGGTGGCCGGGGAGCTGCTGGGGATTGAACCGGTGCTGCAGAGGCTGCGGGCAGCTTCGCAACCCAGCGCTCAACCACTGAGCCACCGTGGAGGCCCATCTTTGTCTTTTAAAACATAAACGGTATTAAATGTCATTCAATCAATATATAAATATATCAGCATCGACATATTCTTATTTTATAATAGCATTAAGATTCCAGTGACACATGGAACCACGTTAGAGATGCATAGAACATATTACTGATTTTAATTCATTGTATGTGTTAAGCTTACATGTTATATAAGATTTTCATATAGATGTTTATTTTCCAGGCAGAAACTCTGTGACCTGTGTTTGGGATATGGTGATTTCTCTTTTGTGCAGCTAGCTGTGTCTGGGATATTATGATTTCTCTTTTGTGCAGATTACTAGATGAAATCACTTCTAAAGTTGCTTTGAACTTTTTATTTTATTTTTTATACTTAAATAGTTCCCAAAGGCAATAATCATAAAGGAAAATATTGACTCATTAGACCATATTAAGAGTATAAATTTCTGTTTATTAGTTGATTGAAAGATGTCATTAGGGGTATTTTTAAAGGACAAATCATGAGATAGAAATATTTGCATTACAGACAACTTATGTCTAAAATATTTTATTGTTTTTTAAAGAGTGTCATGAAATGATGTGTTTACTTTCTCCATTTAGTTAATCCCATTTAAACGAGCCCTAGTTTTTTAGCCCACGGGATTTTAGTTATAAAATTGCATTTTCAAAGAACTTAGAAACACTTGGCATTGTGAGGAATCAGGGCAAAAGTAGCTGCAGTGCTTTTGTCATTTTTAGTTCAGTTCTTGAGTTTTGTGTAGTACTTGTCATATAATTGGTCTTCAGCTAATGTTTACTGAATTAGTGAGTGAATGTTATATAATTGTAAGGAAAGAATGCATAAAAAAGTGAAAACTCTCATGAGAACTGACCTTTTTAAGTTTAAACCTAGAAATCACAGTAAGCATTATTGCGTTGGACATTCAGAACAAAAGCATTAACATTTTTAGAAAATGAAGACAGAGTACATTTTAGGGCTGTAAGACATTGGAGCATGATTGTAGGAAGTGCCATGGTAATTGCCTTCATTGGCATTGGGGAAGGTGAAGATTAAACCCCCTTGTTTAGTAAGGCAAAATGGAGAAGACAGAATTCAATCTGGAGAACTGGGATTTGCTAAGTATATAATACTTCTTTTGAAAATGGAAGTAGTTGAGACTGAATATTTATGTTAGTGCCACAGAGCTTGGATTTAGCAAATGGCAGACATGAGAGTATGGGATATCTTAATGACTAGTTTGCAAGGGTTAGGTAAATTTCTAATTTTTTAATGTATGTATCAGGCTTATGAATAGCAACACAAATTGGTAATGATAACATTGATTAAATTTTGACTTTACATTTTTGCAGATTTTTAAAGTTCCTGTTGCTTTGGACAATGGATGAACAATCACAAGGAATGCAAGGGCCACCTGTTCCTCAGTTCCAGCCACAGGTAATTTATTCTAATATAAGCTAGCATCAGTATTTATAGCTATACTAAATATGAGAGGAAGGAAGGAGTACTTTTATAGATGCTTTAGGAAATAAAGTAGCCAAAACTTGCTAATTACGAATTTCAGAGTTTTTGTCACAATTGTTTATATTTTAAAATAGTGTCTTATAATACTTAGTTCTTATATACAAATATGAAACAAGGATAGTTTTACCTTATACCTATAATTGAATGACCCATAGTTAGGCTTTGAGGGTTAAGATTGGGCTTAGGGAGGCAAAAAAAAAATGAGAATGCGTTGCGGGTGTGGAGTGTCTGTATTTTCTACCTCCCTTGCCTTAACCAGCTAATCCTGCATTGTCCCAACTGCATTTTCCCTTGTTACCTTTATCCACTCTGGGGGTGTTACTCCTGTTAAGTAGTTGCTTACAGTTTTGTTCCATAAAATGTATGTCTTAGTAAACAATGTGCACACATTATTTGAAATTCATTGTTTAGCCTCCTACATTCATAATGGATGCTGCCATAAAGCTCTATATATAATGACATGTTTGAAATAACAAACACTCCTTTCCTCCCAGTTTTCTGTGACTACGTATGGTGGAGGATATTAACCATCCTTATTGTGGTGATCATTTTGTAGTTTATACAAATATCAAATTTTTATGATGTACTTTAATATGTCAACATAATAACTATTTGCAAGCGCTTATTTTTTACCCTTTGATATGTAAGAGCTCCTCAAAACTGATTTTCACAATCAAGTTAACATACTGTTATGCCAATAATACCTCATTAAAAAAATGGCCCAACATAGGGTCAGCACCTCATTTTTGTTTTTCATATAGACTATGTTTCTTGGTCTGGTGTTTGAGGCATTGTACAGTTTGTCTTCAATTTACTCTGCTAGCCTTGCCGCAATTCTGCTTAGATAGCAGTTCTGAAGTCATTTGAAGGACTGGTGAATGTTCTTTGAAATGAGTTATGGAGTCAGGTAGATTTGGGAGACTTGGGTTAAACAGTTACTTTATGACAGTGCTTCCTCACAGCCTTTCCTTATGAATTTCCAAGAGCGGGGGAGGGTGTAGTGATTTCCAAGCTTATTTTACTTGGAGATCCTCCCCTTCCACCCCTCACATCTATTGATTTCTTTAAGACTCAGCATTTGTAAAGCATGTAGGTCAGAAAATGTTGCCCATAAATAAATGATCTGTGATTTTGTTCCTTTTACACCCTCCATCTTCTCTAATTTTGGAAATCCTGACCATCCTTCAAGGACCATCTAAAATGCCATCCTTACCATGAAGCTTTTTTAGATTTTCTGGATGTATTATCTTTTCTTGGAAACATCAAGATATATTCTTTATATATGTCTTCTGGTATTTCTGACACCCTTGTGTCATTTCATATGGGCATTTTCTTTCTCTCTCCTATTGGGATCAACTTTCCTTGTAAAACAGGACTGTGTCTGCCTTACCTGGGTGTTCTGTGGAAAGGCAGTTCTGACATGGAGCAGACATTCACTAAGAGCATCTAATTAAAACCAACCAGAGACTCAAATGCACATTTAATCAGCCTTATATGTAATTGAATTTTGCATAGTGGTGTTATCTATAGCCAGAAAAGAGACCCTTTAGCTTAGGGTAACACCAATATTTTAATTTCGAGATGATTAAAAAAAAAAAACTACCCACTGTATTTTGTGTATGGTCATAAATTATCAACAGTATAATAAGCTACTTCTGTCCATTAGATGTGGACATATCTTAGTACCAATTTTACAGGCACACAAAAAACACTGTTGTTTTTAGCAAAGACAATAAAAGAAGTGCCTTAAAAATAGATAGTTTGCATTATGATTTTGAAATGCAGTTTTGAGCAGCTCTTAAGTTTCAAAGGAAAAAAAAAAAGCACTTGCATTTTTGCCTCCTACTGATTCACCAACCAGGAAAGGTCGGCATGGCAGTAGGAGGTAAAAATGAGAGTAATTGTTTTCCTAGGAGACCCTAGGCTGCCACATAGCATAAATTTCAAGATTATATACATGATTTTGCATCTCTTTTCACACTGTTCCTTTCCCTCGTGCCCCCTGCCGCTGCTCCTGTGTGGGTGGACGTCCCTCCCTGTTGGAAACAGGCAAGTGTCATCAGGTTTAGCTGCCTGTGGCAAGAGGGGGAGGGGGGATTTGTTTTCCCCTCCTTATTCAGACTGATGGTGTGAGACAGTGAAAGAAAGATTACCTGACAAGAGCTTATAGGTGTTATTGCTTATTAAGTCTTTGAAAAATGTTACTGTTCTCAGTAGCATTATTTTAAAAGGCTGGGAAAGGACAGCCTCTGTTCAGGTTGACAACCTTCTTTTGTTTGGTTCCACACCATTGGCCTGAATAATGGGGATGATGTGGCAACATATGGTTAGCCAAGCGACTTCTTTCACTTTTGTAATGCTAATGGAAGTCTGGACATAAACAGAAGCCCGAGGAAGTCAGCTTTCTAAGTGTCAAATACCAAGTCCCTGTTAGAATGATGAGTGATATGTATTCTGGTCTAGCCTTTTCTTATTTTGAGATACTCTCACCCCATAATATATAATGTGTGGTCTCAGTTTTAGTACAGTATGTGTTCCTTATTATTAAGTTTTAGAATGGTAAATTTTGTCATCTTTATTAATTTTCGTTTTGCATTCCTCTCATTCTCTTGCATTGAGGGGAATTTTTTTCTATCAACTTTCTTTTGTTTCCTCTCCTCCCTCCCTTTCCCTCTTTTATCTTTTCCTTCCTTTTTATGATACCTTCCACTAAGGACTAAAAGATACTGAAAGGACATTTTAAGTAGATTCTTACCCTATATATTGTCTTGGGTTTTCGACTGTTATGAAACAATGAATTTAGCTTAATTAAAAAAATATAGATTAGGCCTCCCTGGTGGCGCACGGGATTAAGCACAGCACTGTGAAGCTGTCTGCAGCCTCTGCAGCCTGAGTTCTATCCTCGGCCAGGGAGCTACCCTCATGGCACAGCAGACCTCTCCTTTCTGGCCCGCTGCTCCCCTTCAGCAGTGTATTTCAGTCAGTCTGCCTGTCCTGTTCCCCACTCTGTCTCTAGTGAACCTTCTCACTGCGCGTCCCCCCCCCCACACCTCTGGCCTGTGCCCCAGTTCATGTATGCATAAATAAATAAAAATCTTTAAAAAATATATAGATTGAGTAAAAGATGGCTACAGAAATAGTAAAATATTTGTCTTTTACTATGAGACTAATTTTTTTAATTTTTAAATTTTTTTTTAAGATTCATTTATGCATACAAGAACTGGGGTACAGGCTAGAGTTGCAGTGGGTGAGAGGATTCACCAGAGATAGAGCAGGGTACAGTGCAGGCAGATTGACTGAAATACACTGCTGAGGGGAGCAGCGGGCGAGACAGGAGAGGTCTCCTTGCCATGTGGGTTCCTCCCTGGCTGGGGATCGAACTCGTACTGCAGTTGCGGACAGCTTCATAGGTTGCCTCTTAACCCCTTGCAGCACCAGGGATGCCCTATGAGACTAATTTTAAACAACAGAAATTTACAACATTTTCTGAATAATTTGATTTATGGTCATTTAATGAAGAAGACTGGAACATTCTTTTATATCATAAAGTTAAATATGAAATGGTTATAATAAGTATAAGTCTAAGAATTTGGGAGAGTGATTAGAGGGAAGATTAACTAATAATTATTAGGACTTAGTTTTTTATTAGTAAATTTGAAGTTATCTAGTGTTTTGGCTATCAGTGAAAGGGGCAAGACATCCAAGATCAGCATTCCAGGTAGGAAAATAAACATTTCTTATTTTAATAACTTGGAAGGTATGAGAATCTTGTCTGGGGAGTGTTCCAACCCAAGAACAACCATTCCATTTATGCTTCATGGCAGCCCAAACTACAGTCCATTTGTGTTTTTGACATCTCTGTCAGTGAAAGTGGAGAAATGAGATTATGTACACTTTGTAGCATGTGTAGCATAATTATCAGGGTATATTTTAGGTACCAAGGAAGTAAGCCCACAATGAACAAGGGTCATCATTTGAATTGTTTCTTTGGATGTTTATTTTTGTCAAGTTATTTGTCATATAGCCTTGAGTAGAGCTTCTGTTTGGAAGTCTGTATAGAAATTGAGGTGTAAAGTTCTCCTTTTAACAGTTCATTGGATAAAGAATAACTTCATTGATATATGCATAGGATGATAAGCAGCAGCTATTTTGAGGGAAGAAGTTTTTGCCATAGTTTTTTACATTCGTGACCAAGAACCTCAGGTAAACCCTCATTTTACTCAGTGGTCAGATTCTTAGTCCATCCACCCCCACTATCCTCACTGACTGCTCATATCTTTTCTCTCCTCAAATTCCCAGTGCATTGGCTCCTGTCCTCACTCTCAGCTCATGCCCTTGCTTCCTATTTCATTGAAAAAAACTAAAGCAATCATAAGGGAACTGCCTTTTCTGTCATCAGATTAACTAGCTCTCCCTATTCTCAACGGGCATACTCCTTGGTCACCAGATCCCACATCCATTCCCTCTACCCCGTCCTTCCCATGAGCATACTATTATGCTGTTATTTCTTCTATTTAAACAATAAAATAAAACAACCCCCCCCCAAGAGCATTTGAAACTTTTCTTCCCTCCAACTGTAAAACCTGTTTTCTGCTCCCTTTTATTGCAAAACTCCTAGAAAGATTTACCTGTTGTTCTGCCTTCCATTCTCCTTTCACACTCTTGCATGTACCCTAACTATGCTTCTCTTCTCCATCATACTGCCTTAGCACTTCTTGTCAAGGTTTCCAGTGACTTGATGTCGCTCAGTACAGTGTTCAGTCCTCAGCCCTCCTCTTACTTGTCTTAACAGCTGTATGTGACAGTTGATCCTGCTCTCTTTTTTGAAACCTATTCTTCCCTTGGCTTTCCAGAACCTGTTTTTCACTTGTCTTATTGGTCCTCACATTGCTTATTTTCCCTTACCATCTTTA